GTCCCCAGATCTTCTCACTTACTTTCAGAAAAAACATCTTTCCCACTAGCCATGACTGGTTTTGTTTCCTGGCAGCTTCTAGCTTTGGTTTTTCCGAGTTTGCCTCCAAATCCATCTCTACCAGTTCCACAGCTGAATGATACAGAGCCATAAACTTAAGACTAGAAGAGCTAAAACTGCATGATGGCTACAAGTTCCTTCTGCTGGGCCAGAACCCACTGGAGAGCCTGGTGCGTCGCTCCCCTTTGAGCTGAGATGTTATTACCGTGACCCAGGATTGGGCTCTCCTTCTTTTGATCCTAGTCAGAAGGTTTCCACTCCAGAGGACCCTGCAGGGAGCTCAGCACTTTCTATTGGTGGGGCAGCGAGGTCTTGGTTTTCCCATGCAGTCTGTGCTAGACTCTGAAGAATGCTTCCCGATTGCCTTGACGTGGTCAGAAATCTTTACAATAAAGATTTTCAGAAAGAAATGTTGAAGTTGTATGCATAGATACATACTGAAGCATTGGGTAGAGAACTGACAGTTCGCTTCTGTTAATAAATCCTTTCTAGAGAGGAGACAGCCTACATTTAATACCCTTAAAATGAAATTGTTCTGAAGTAGATACGCAAAGGGCATTCTCCCTTTTCTCTTCTTTCTGTTTTGATTCTGGTATTTAGAGAAAAACCTGTAGCAAACAAAGATATTTCCTTTTACTCAGCTGATGGGCGGCTAAAAACCCACCGCTATCTTCCTGGTGAAAACAGGTACGTTCCTGTAGACAGGGAGAGCTCAAGGCAAATTGGGTTCTTTAAGCCTAAAATGTAACCCTGGCTGTTTATGATGAGATGCTGTACATTCTGCAATTTATTTGAAGGATAACATCAAATAAAATATTCTGATTGGGAAAAAGAAATCTCTAATTTTTAGACTGAAAGCGTAAGATTGTTTTCTGCAAGCTTTTCATTGCATCTTAGTCTTTCGTGCAGTTTCAAGTGCTCTTCTACCAGACAAACTGCCTTTTCTTCCCTTTTCCGTAGGGCAGTTAAGGACTGCAGCTTCTAACAAGTTGGGGAAATCAAAACTCTGTTTGTTTTGTGAATGGGTCTTAGACTGAGTATTCGTTCAGGCTTCTCGGAAATTTCAGATGTCTTTTTTCAAAGCTGAGCAGACTATAACAGAGTTCACCCACAAACAGCTTGGACAAGAGTTCAGTGCTCCTTTCACACACAGCTTTATATGAACAAAGATGAAAGCAGCAGAGATATGAGAAGGCCTTTTGTACGGCTTCCAAAATATGAGTAATTTCTGGTATACTAAGAGTGAAAACAAAAATATATTTGGTTTTTATCTGTCTGGTTCGATAGTCTCTTTTATGAAAGAGAAAATTGCACTTGCTTAGTGCAATTCTCTTATTTCAGCTGATTTGCAGGAGCTCAGTGCTGAAAACTGAACAAAAAACAATAGGTTATATTTTCTTCCATGTCTGACTTGATAAGAAAATTTACTGGTGTGGTATTTATTAGATGAATCATTCCCCCAGGGTCACGCAACAGAGAAATGGTGAATGATGTTTTCAATCTTCTATCACCAAAACAAAGTGCCTTTTCACGATGTGGATTTAGTCCCATGCCTCTGCCAGCAGTGGTTTCAGAAAAAGAATACGCTTCCTGTTTCAGCTAGTGACTTGTAAAATATCTAAGGGCAGCATTTCAGCTACATTTCAAAGTCACATCTTCAGCCAGAGCTGCTGGGGCGATTCCTGTGCACCTTAGAACTGCTCTCTTAGAACTGGGAACCCAGTACTCAGGCAGAGAAAGATACCAGCACAGTACATCTCTGAAACAGCTTGGCATGCCAAAACAGGAACTTGGACATTTTACACAGCCTGAGGACCCTTTATTATATACCAATGTATATAAATATAAAATGTATAGTTTAAAATGATACTGTCTTATGGTTAAAACTTGAAGTTTTAAGTTAAAACCTTAACCCAACTGGCTATTGTCAAGATCATAGGATTCCAGAGCCAAGAGGTGCAGGCTAAATAATCCCATTTGCTTTGCAGAGAGAAACACATTACCCAGAGCCGGTTTTATCCAACTAAGAGGCTAGCAGGAGGGTGGC